AGCACCCAGGGCCGGGTCAGATCGCAGCACCCAGGCCCGGGCCAGACCTCAGCACCCAGGCCCGGGCCAGACCTCAGCACCCAGGGCCGGGCCAGACCTCAGCACCCAGGGCCGGGCCAGACCTCAGCACCCAGGGCCGGGTCAGACCGTAGACACCCAGGGCTGGGCCAGGTCACAGCACCTAGGACCAGGCCAGACAACAGCAACCAGGGCCAGGTCAGACTGTAGCACCCAGGGCCAAGTCAGACCTTAGCACCCAGGGCTGGACCAGACCATAGGCACCCAGGGCCAGGCCAGGTCACAGCACCTAGGACCAGGCCAGATGACAGCACCCAGGGCTAGGCCAGACCACAGGACCCAGGGTACAAGACTGCAGCACCAGGGCTCCATACTGTAGCATCCAGGGTGCCAGATCGCATCACCCAGGGCCGGGCCACGCCATAGCACCAGGACCAGGCCAGATAGCAGCATCCAGGGCCAGGCCAGGTCATGGCACTCAGGGTTGGGCAAGACCACAGCACTCTGTTTTTGCCTGGGACTCCTGGCCACCCTAGTGTCGAGCCAGCACCCTGGCCTATGGTGCCACAGTCCTCAGGTTGCCCCCTCTGTCCCTCTTGCTACAGTTGGGTGGATAACACCCCAGAAACTGTAGGTTGGAGCTCTCTGTGGCTCACAACACATTGCTCCAAAGTGGTCTCCAGGAACCTCCTTGAGACCCAGGAGCGTCACCTCAGTGGCCCAGGAGCCATCCTGTGGCATCTTGTAAAGAGGCCAGCAGCCACCTGCCCGCTGTGTCCAGCAGTTTGAGGAATGGACCCTATCCCTGCCATCACCGATCACACCCCACTGTGGGTGTGGAGCTACCTGTCCATTAAAAAGGCCGCAGCCTGGCTGTGAACAACAGTGAGAGCAGCCCTGTCTATGGGGGCCTGTGTCCCTGGGCCTGGGCTATCCATGGGGGCTCCAGGGAGGTGCCATGCAGCCATTGGCAAAGCCCGCCTGGAAGGTGCCCTGCCATGAGCTACCCCTCTGTCCATGGCACATAAACCTCCTCCCTGGAATATGAGTGATGGGGGCTGGAAATGGGAGGAAATCAATGTTATTAAATAAATTCATGCGAAGGTCTGAGTGAATGGTAATTCTACAGCCCTCTTAAATATATTCACGGGTTTAAAAGAGGATGCCAATTAGCCCCTGTAAATCTGCAGGCTGGGAGCTCTCAGGGGATAATGGAGTGGAGTGTCAAATTCCAGGTTGTGGAAGAGGAATTTATGAGCCACAGGCTTGGAGCAGTTGCCCGCCTGGGTGTGTCCGGGGTCAGCCCTCTCATTCGGGCCTCCTCCTGGGGGCCTCCCTTGCTCCCCATCACGCTGCACAGGGGCGGGGGTGGGACGGAAACATGCCATGCTCCAGGCTGGCTGGATGGGGCACAGCGATGGGACAGTCACCTCGTCCTTCTGGTCTCTTCCAGCCAAGAAATATAAAAAGGTCACTGGCAAAGAGATCTACTCCGACACCTTAGAGAGCACGCCCATGCTGGAGAAGGAGAAGTTTCCACAGGACTACTTCCCCGAGGTACGTGGCTAGGCCTTCTCACCAATGTGTTTACTTCCCAGAGCGCGCCAGTCAGAAGTGGCTTTGAACACAATTTCCACATTGCCTGTTGCTGGTCAAGCTGCCTGTTGTTACCTCGGATAACCTGTCTTCCTGGGCGTCCAGACTCCTGTGGTTGGTCTGGGCTGCCTCACGTCAGGGCAGTGAGAATCTAAGGCCTCAGCACCACAATGGTCAGCAAATTCCTGAATCCTCATAACCAGGCAAAAGAAGCTTCCCCAAAAGATGTAGGAAAATCATGCAGCTCCCCTGGCGTGCACCCGGGTCTCCCGCACGCCCGGTTGTGAGAGGGTCGGCTGGTCGGTTGCGAATGCCTGTGGTGTGAGCGTGGGACACGGTCCCGTGTCAGATCAGCCTTGGTGGCTGTGCCAGGCTGTGAGCAGCAGCACCCCAGCGGTTACGCCTGCGCCGCACGGAGAGTGTAGAATCAGGATGTGTGGAAGGCGTTTGTCGTCCCTGCCAGACGCAGTGCTGATAAGGTGTTGGTGTTTCCGTCGGGCGGCCACGCGCTTTTGCCAAACCGTGTGTGTGCAGCTGCTCGGAGTGCACGTGGTCTCTGGAACACCTCACACGCTGCACTGTGGGCAGCTCCCGGCCGTGCCCTTCGCCATCTGCTGCATCACAGTGGGGCGTGGACACCGTGGCTGGAAGCAGCCACGCGCTGAGGCGGAAGAGCTGGCAGCTGGGCGCAGGTTTGGGTGCGTCCAGGCTGTGATATAGGAGCTCTTTCTGGGGCGTGATGTGCAGCCCCAAGAAGGATTGCTCTGCAGCCCTGTCTCCACGAGGGCTGTGCCCGCCGAGGCGGCTACCGAGCTGACTCCCAGCAAGGCCGCAACTTTATTAACTTGCTTTATGGCCCCTACCTTGAGTAAGGGACTGTGGCCGCCCTGTGAGGGATGGGGCGCTCCTGTCACCCTGTGGCTCGGCCTCCTTGTCCATCTTTCCTCAGCCAAGGACACCGTGTCAGTGGGCCGGCGCCCCGTCCTTGGTCCTGATTCTGGCACCACCCGCTCACCTCCCTCCACCCCGGGTGTCTGAGGTTGGACAAGGACATGCAGGAAAGCCCCGTGGCCTTCTCTGTGCATAGTCACGTCCCTGGGCCACGAGAGCCCTCCCTGAAGGGGCTGCCTGGGGTACAGGCCCCTCGGAAGGGCAGGTGGGGCCCTGGTTCCCCTGGAGAGCCTACAAGCTGAACTCTGGGCCTCTCTTGAGCCCACCCAAGGCTCTCATCTCAGAGTGACCAGAGATAGACTCAGGGCCCTGTGTGGGAGACATGGGGGCTGGCAGGGCCTAGTCTGGGCAGGGCCAGGCGCTGCCACCTGATGACGTGAGGACAGCTGCTGCAGGCGGCCTGGCCTGGTCCAAGCAGGGGCCTGCGACCCGGCACCTCGTCTCGGGACCCATGCGGCTACACTGCTGTCCAGGGCTGTGGCTGGACCGGGTGCTGCTGGGCTGTCCCCACCTCACCTGGTGTCCGCGTATTCACTGGGTCCCGTCTACCCTGGGTGGAGTAGGAGAGTCCAGAGGGAGCCCTGTAGCCCCTGGGGATGGGCCGAGGTGTGTCCTGAGGGTCCAGAGGCTGCAGGGGTCAGCCAGGGCGGGAAGCTCAGGGGCAGTGGGTCCTCAGCAAGGAACAGACACTCCAGGGTCTTCCCAGGCAGCCGCGCAGGCCCCTGACCCCTCCGTCCCTCAGCGCAGCCCCACCCTGTCCCACCCCATGCCGCAGCAGCCCTGTGCTCTGGCCAGAGAGACCTCCTTCCGAGGGGTTCCTGCTTGCACCCACACCTCAGGCTGTTCTCCTGCACCCAGCAAATGGGGAGCTGAGGCTGGGGGCCCAGGCTCACGCTGGGCAAGGTCTGGGGGCCTCTGCTGTGACTTTGCCACCCTTTGTAGGGTGGGTGCTCAGGCAGGGGTCTGGGTGTGGCCCCTGGCCTCGGTCCCTGAGGCCAGCACTCTGAGTCCTCTGTGATGCTAGGGGCCTGCTGGCCTGGGTCTGTGGGGGCCATCGCATGGGGAGCTGCCCCTTCCCCCAGGAAGAACAGCCTCAGCCTGGGTTTGCACAGGAACCCCAGCCCTCAGCCTGGGTCCAGGCCTTCCTGCCTGCAATGGACCTGGCTCCAGGACTGCAGTGTTGTGTCTACAGGCAGAGGGGAAGGCACATTCTGGAAAGTGGATGATTCCTGGGAGGAAAAGGCGCCGAGTGTCTGTGTGGACCCGTCTGTCCACTGGGAGAGCAGTGCGTTGCCGTCTGCAGCCTGGTGCTTAGCTGCTCAGCAGAACCTCATGGCTGCCGGTGCCTGGGACAGGGGGCCAGCCCCTGCCCTGGGCAGAGGCCTTGCTGTGGGTCAGGGCAGCCCTGCCACGTCACCGTCTTAGAAATCCTCCCAGGACCCATGTGTCTGCTCCGAGGTGGCCTGCAAACGTTCTCAGCCGTTCCCTCTTCTCCTGGTAAATTAACAAAAGGAAACTCTTACTCCAAAAGCTGTAAGCTCCTCAAGTTCAGTCCATAGTGTGGGTTTTTAATCTCACAGAGCCTGTGTGGCACCCGTGTCCCTGCGGGAGGGAGGACGGAGGAGGGAGGGCCGGGAAGACACGGTTGGGCCTGGCAGCCTGGCCGGCCTGCCCCTCCCTCTGGGCCTCTGCGCCCGACCTCTTGCTTTGTTTGAGCACATTTTGGAGGAAGGAACTAGTTTCAGACTGATCTCTTTCTTTTATTACCATCACTTAAGGGTAATCTAAATGTAATTACCTTGATGGGGGCATAATGCAGTCTCAGATAATTACCGTGGCTGCACAGAAACTAACAAAACTTTGTCTGCTGATTTATGGATGCTTTTGGCTTGGTATGAATTTCAAATGATGCCTCTGGGAGCCACAATCCAGATAATGTGAGGCCATTTTTAAAAAGCAGATTTGTGTAGTCGATCAGGGCGGGTCATTTTTTTCCTTTTGCCCGCAGTGAGAAATTGGTTGTTACCATAGATCACAGGGCCGGCTGCAAGCTCTTATGAAAGATGAATTAATTCTGCTAATGCTCTGAGCGGGCCTCCGGCGCGAGGGCTGGGCGGTGATAACCTCCCCGCAGCCTCCTTTTCTCCTCGGCGATTTATGCCGTCTTTTAGTAGATGAAACCGGCTGGGTTCGCTATCCATCTGCCGACTGAAGGAACCCTATTAACAGGGGCCTGAGAGAGACTTCATGTTGTCGGGTGAAGGATGTGCCCCCACCCCCGTGTGACGTGGGTGTCATTTCTGAGGTGAAAACCTCTCTGGGAGCAGAGGAGCTGATATGGGCCAGGGGGCGGCTGCCTCAGGAGTGCAGAGTTGTGGCCGTCCCATCTGCGGGCACCTGAGGTGGCCAGTGACCAGAACGTTCCTGCACACAGCCTGGGGTGAGGAGACCCCCCAGCCCCACCCATTCACTCTCTGCTTCTATTTGCCATGGCCTGAGCAATAAGCGTGTGCATCCCAAAGCTTCTGGGGTCTTCCTGAGTCCTGAGCATGTGAACGGCAGCTGAGACCCCCTTCTCTGCCTCCCCACATTTCCCTGCCCTGCACCGGAGGGTGTCGTGGGGCGTGGGGCGTGGGGCGTGTTCACCTAGGGCAAGGGTGCTCAGGTGTGCACGTGGGGGCGTGGTCTCTAGGAGGGACCCCTGCACCTGCTGATGACTCTGGGGAGAAGGAGACAGGGCTGTGGGGGCTGCTGGGCTGGAGGGGATGATGGGGAGAAGGGGGTGGGGCTGTGGGGGCCACCGTGCCTTCTGGACGGAGACTCTGGCAGCCTCCTCCCAGTGCCTTCTGTGGTTTTTAAGGGTTTCCCAAGATGCCTAGACTGGGAAGCTACCTGTTCTGCGTGGCTGTTTAAGTTAAAGTTAATAAAGATAAAATGGAACCTAAAATTCAGTTCTTCAGTCACACACTGAAGAACGTGCTCTGTGGCCACGGTGGCTGGTCACTGCTGTACTGCGTGGCCCCACAGAGCCCTGCTCTGTTGGGAGGTGGGAGGGCCTCCCTGCCATTCTCCAGGGGAGCCCTGCCACCTCCTAAAGAACCCACCCCTTTGAACTCTCATGCTGGTGACTGTTTCACCTTGAATTTGGTGGGCACTTTCGGACCAGAGCTCAGGCCCCACCATCTGTGGCTCTGCTGGGTGGGCGAGGCATCAGTGAGAGGCATCGGAGGGTGGTGGGCATCAGTGGGGAGAGGCATCAGTGGGCGGTGGGCATCAGTGGGGGAGAGGCATCAGAGGGTGGTGGGCCTCAGTGGGGGGAGGCATTGGGGGGTGGTGGGCGTCAGTAGGGGGTGGCATCGGGGGTGCTGGGCATCAGTGGGGGAGAGGCATCAGAGGGTGGTGGGCCTCAGTAGGGGGTGGCATTGGGGGGTGGTGGGCATCAGTGGGTGAGAGGCGTTGGTGGTAGGCATCATGGAGAGGCCACACACACCATTGGGGTGGGCAGCTCACCTGCTGTCCAGGACGCCTGGCTGGGAGTGGCTGCTCGGGTCTTTCCTGGGGTCCAGCCGAGGGTGGCCCCATGTGTCTCAAGCTCCCTGGCCATGGGTAGCACTGCTCAGCGAGTGTCTGCGGTGACAGCGACTACCCTGCAGCTGCTCTCACATGGGGGCACGGGGCTCACAGGCAGCAGGCTGGTGCATTTCTTGTTTCTTTGCATCGTCCCCTCCCTCCCTCCCGCCTCTGAGCATCAGCAGCCCCTGCAGGCGCCTCTGTGCCAAGCTCCACTTGAGGAGAGGTGCGCAGCTCCGTTCTTTTCAGTGGGACGCCATCGGTGCTGAAACAGCACTGCTGTTTTCACGGTTGGAAAGCATCTCCTGTGTCCTGTAAATATGTGGGACCTACACGTTGCTCCTGCCCACTTACTCCAGCTCATTTCTGTGACGTGTTTATTTTTCAGTGCAAATGGTCAAGAAAAGGCTTCATCCGGACGAGGTGGTGCATTGTAGACTGGTACGTGCTGTCTGTCTGTGCTGTGTCAATTTCCATGTTTCTTACCCTTTGTATGTTGCTCAACTGGCATGTTGCACACACCTGATTGGAGAATCTACTGACTTTGCACAAGGAACCCCAGCTGCCCGGCCCCCACCTGCCACTCTGGCCTTTTCTGTTCATGATGATGTGTTCGGAGCATTGCCACCATTCCATGTAAGTCAAACATCTGGGTGCCCAGTGCCAGTGCAGACACAGTGAACAGGCCTGGCCCCTCCCTGCAGCCAGAGAGCTCCGCTGGCCAGACCCCGCAGCGCACACAGGGAAGTCAGCAGGGAGGCCTCCTGGCACTGGCCCCGTGGCTGCCGAGTGAGACGACTAAGAGCCGCCTGGCAGCCTGCTTCACCGGCAGGCTGAGCACACGGCGGAGCCTGCGTCTCATCCAAGGACCCTCTGGCGTGGCCTTTCTGTCGTGAACGTGTTCTCAATGGTGCTGTCCCAGCTTTTCTGCCTGATGAAGTCAGAAACCTGTCACCTGTTTTCCTACGGTGGCTTCCAGGTGGCCCCTGACCTGTCCCTCGAGCAATCACACCTCATTTGAATGCTGCTTTTATTTTCCTTTATGAGTTTCCAAAACTTTGCTACTTGATTATCTGCTGCATATAACAGATCACGCCACACTTAGCAGCTTTAAAAAGCAAGCACGAGGTCATGGCTGTGGCTCAGAATCCAGGAGTGGCTTTTCTGGGGTTCCAGCCCAGTTCACCTTGGGGCGTCCAGAGGACTCGAGCTGTGGGTGGGGGTTTCTGCTCCTCCCCCTCAGGCCTCTCCCTGGGGCTGCTCAGGGCAGGATGTCCCCAGGAGGAGCAGGAGAGCCAGAGTCCAGAGAATGAAGGGGAGGGAGAGGGGGAGGAGGGCAGAGGGGGAGGGGCAGAGAGAAGGAGAAGGGGGAAGAAAGGAGGGAGAAGGGAGAGGAGAGAAAGAGGAAGAGGAGGGAGGGGCAGGAGAGAGGGAGCTGAAGAGGAGCTGCGGTCCCTGTCACCCCAGGCACTGCAGGCTACAGGCCACCCTTGGCTGTTGGCCACACGGAATGGCCTTGGCGTGGTGTGGTGGCACACGGGGCACGTTCACCTGGCAGGCGTCACTGGGGTCATTGTGGCAGCTGGACCACAGGCTGAAGGAGGGCGGGCAAGGCTGCCTGCACACGCTCATTCCTTGTACCTCCTGCAAGGGAGACAGGGCTGGGTCTTGGAGCCTGTGGCGGGCGTGCGGCCAGTGAGGCTTTGTGGGACAGCGTCCAGACCATGCCAAGCCCTGCGCTGACCTCCCCATCACGTCCCTACTAGTCAGAGGTGCCAAGGCTCCCCTGCAGTGTGACAGAGGCTCAGGCCTTGATCGGGCCTTGGAGTCCGTGTGCTGGAGGCCAACAGCCAGGCCCACGAAGCTTGCCAAGACTCTTCCCTTTGGGAGCACAATGAAGCACTCTTCTCGCCTGTCTCTGTGCCCCCACCTGCCTTACAGGGTCCCCGATGGGGGCAGCCGGCAGCCCTGGGCGGCTGAGGCTGAGGCTGAGGGGTGGCCCCTCTTCTTAGCTTAGCCATCGGGGAGAGTTTCCGCAGCCGCCTGTAACTTCTTCTCTAAAGAAAAGTAGCTCACTTTTTAGTTGGCCAGAGTAAGTGCACACGTGAAGACGTATTCAGACTTCACTGGAGTTTCCTGTCCTCTGGCCTTGTCAGCAGACAGGCGGGTGGACAGGCACCAGGCCTCGGGTGCTCCCCACGGAGGCGCAGGTCCCATGCCCCGGGGTTCCTTGGGAGAACGAGGTGTGACCCGGAGCCCCGGCCCTTGGTGACGTGTCCTTTTCTCTTTTGGTTGTAGTGCCTTTGACTTGGTGAATATCCATCTTTTCCATGATGCTTCCAATCTGGTTGCTTGGGAAACAAGCCCTTCTGTGTACTCAGGCATCCGGCACAAGGCACTGGGCTACGTGCTGGACAGGTAGGTGTGGGCAGGGAGGTAGGCGTGGGAGTGGGTGGGGAAGTAGGCGTGTGTGGGGAGGCAGGTGTGGGCAGGCAGGTAAGTGCTGGGCAGGTAGGTGTGGGTGGGCAGGTAGGTGTGCTGGGCAGGTGTAGGTGTGGGTGCAGAGGTGGGGTGGGTGGGCAGGTGTAGGTGTGGGTGCAGAGGTGGGGTGGGTGGGCAGGTGTAGGTGTGGGTGCAGAGGTGGGGTGCTGGGCAGGTGTAGGTGTGGGTGCAGAGGTGGGGTGCTGGGCAGGTGTAGGTGTGGGTGGAGAGGTGGGGTGGGTGGGCAGGTGTAGGTGTGGGTGCAGAGGTAGGTGTGGGTGGGCAGGTGTAGGTGTGGGTGCAGAGGTAGGTGTGCTGGGCAGGTGTAGGTGAGGGAGGAGAGGCAGGGGTGGGTGGGTAGGTAGGTGGGTGGGCATGTCAGTGTGTCTGGCCACTGGCAAAGGCTATGCCTGCTCTGGGAGCCACACTCTGCTCTGTGCTTGACAGTTTGCTCGTAGCCCTTACTGGAGTTGCCCCCTGGAGGTGGCAGAGCCCTTAGCCCCCTCCAGTCTGGAGCCATACCCTCACCATGGACTTGGATGGGGATGGCTTTACTTTCTCTCTGACTTTTTGTGGGAAGGATAAGAAAACAGTGCCAGGGGTGCTGTGGTGGGAGGTGAACAGGACACTGAAGTCAGTGGGAGCCTGGGGGCCACCTCCACCTGTGCCTGGGCCCCTCTCGCCCAGTGCTACAGGCAGCTCCGCCGGTGGTGCCGTGGAGATGGCGGCTGTCAGTGGGAAGCAGGGGTGCCGCCATTGGTGGGATGTGTCTGATCTTGGGACCAGTGTCCCTCTCCGTCTACAGCTGGGCCTTCCGCTGCAGCTCAGGCCAGGCAGCCAGGGTTTACCCTCTGCTCATTCCAGGCGGCACTCACATGGAAACCTCCCCAGCATCTCCGTGGTGACAGGACAGTGCTTCATCAGCCTGGGCTTGCAGTAGCCACAACTAGAGGCCTGAGCCTGGCAGTTCTGTCCCAGGACGGTCCCTGGTTTCCACCTGAACCCCATTCTGCTCCATAGAGGGCCCCCAGCCTGAGCCCCTGCCCGGCCTCCATGCGTGCTCAATGCTGAGCTGCACTCCCGAGTATGTGCAAGGGCCTGGTGCGGCCCTGACCTCGCCTGCCTTCCAGCTGCTGGCCTCTTCCTGGCCTCCTCAGACCCTGATCTTTCTATTCCTGGCGCTGGTTCCCTCCCACCCACACCTGCCTCATCCTGGGCATGTGCCAAGCAGAAGGACTGAGTCATTCCCAGACCACCACTGTCCCTGGGGCGGTCACAACTGCCTGGAGCTGTGCAGGCAGAGGCAGAGGGTGGGGGGCACTGAGGTCTGGACCCAGAGTGGGAGGAGGCTGGGCAGGACCTGACACCCTCTGAGCCTCTGGGAGGGTTCCTGGGGAAGACAGTGGGAGGAGCAGTCTATGTGGAGGGGAATGTGGGTGGGGCCCCTGCCCCTGAGTTGTGGGTGGTGTGTGACCAGCACCATCAGATTCTCAGGGGGCAGGAGAGACAACCCCTGAGGATTGTGTGGAGTACCTACATTTCCACCCAAACAAGACCCGTGTCCTGAGGGTCCCTGAGGCAGGTGGGGTCATGAAGGAGAACAGCAGCCAGGGGGTCCCCGCATCCTAACAGCGCCTCATAAGGATAGTGAGTGTGCCTGTGTGTGCCTGTGCATGCATGTGTATCTGAGTGTGCACACGGGTGTGGATGTATGTGCATCATGTATATATGTGTACAGATGTGTGTGCATGTGCATGCAGTTATGCACGTGCACACATAAGTACATGCATGTGAACATATGTACATTTGCATGTGGGGGTTGTGTGAAGGTGGGTGTGCATGCACCTGCACTTGTGTGTGTTCATATGTGGGTGTGTGCATTTATGTATGTGGGGGTGCATGTGTGTACACTTTTGTGGGTGTGTTTGTATATGTGGGTGGATGTGGGTACATGTGTGGCGTGGGTGTGTGGGTGCATGTCTGTATGTCTGTATTTGGGTGTGTGCATGCTTGCAGGGGTGTGTGGGGGTTGCATTGTGTGTGCACACACGTGGGCATGTGAGTGTGCTTGTGTGGGTGCATGTGTGTGTGTGTGGGTGTGTGGGGGTGTGCATGTGTGGATGTGTGGATGTGGATTATGTGTGGTGTGCACGTGCCTGTGTATATGTGCATGTGTGTGTGGGTATGTGTGTGGGTGCATGTGTGCTAGAGAGTGTGTGCATGCACGCATGTGTGCCTGTGTGGGTGTGTGGAAGGGTGTGTATGCCTGTGGGGGAGGCATGTGCACACAGGTGTGGATGTGTGCAGGTATGTGTGGGTGTGTGCATGCAGTTGTGGGTGTGTATGCAGTGCATGTGTCACGGGTGGGTGTGTGTGCATGTAAGTGTGCAGATGTGGGTGTACACATGGGTGTGGATGTATGCATCACGTGTATATGTGTACAGGTGTGTGTGCATGTGTGGGTGTACACACGGGTGTGAATGTATGTATGTGCATCACGTGTATATGTGTACAGGTGTGTGTGCATGTGTGTGTGCAGGTGTGGGTGTACACACGGGTGTGGATGTATGTGCATCACGTGTATATGTGTACGGGTGTGTGTGCATGTGTACCTGTCATAGCTCAGCACTGTACATCCTGAGGATGGGCTGGAAGGCAGGATTCTCCAGGGCGTGCTGCTCCTGAGCGCTGGCTCCCTCTGCTGCTGTGGTGAGCGTGGCCTGCATGGCTCTGCGCCTGCCGCCGTCACCATCCTCCGGATTGCCCATGGGACTCTGCGGGGAGTCTGGAGTGGGCTCCCGTCCCTGTGCTGTTGTTAACAGGTACATGGCCTTGGTTCTCCCCTGCGTCCGGCCCCTGCTGAGGGCCTCTAGGCGTGGTCCCTTATACTCCTCTGACCGCTCCTGACCTCTATCTCCAGAGTGATGGTGCCCTGGTTCCCTGCCACCAGCCTGGTCCTGGAAGAGGCGCCGCAAATGTGGGGCCTGGGTGCTGCTGTGCTCATGGCCACCCCGATGCACAGTCACACCCCCGGCAGGGGGCCTCTCTGGCCTCCTGGGCACCTCCAGAGCTGGCACTGACACTGAGGCAGGAACAGGTCTGAGCCTGAGGACTGCACTCGTGACTGCCCTCTGTGGGGAAGCAGCACAGGTGGGGGATGGTGCCTGGGGCTTTGTCAGAGACACAGTGACTGATGACTGCCTGGGCCCTGGGCACCCTCCCTGGACAACGTGTTAGTCGCCCAGGGAGGAGGGCCTCACCCGCAGGAGTAGCGCGGTTCCTCCTGCCTGATCAGCCCTGGGCTTCCAGGCACCAAGCTTCTCAGGGACCTCCCACAGAGCCCAGGAGCGGGGAGGGCCCTGCCGTGTCTGCCGTTGGGCCTCAGTGACAGTGGTTAGGCTGTCAGTGTGGCGTGGCATTACAATGTGTCATTGCCCCTAGCTGCTGTGGCTGCGCGGCCTCAAGAAAGCAGCCTTTGGGCTTTCAGGCCACTTTTCTGCATCTCTGCATTCCCATGAATGGCTGCTGTGGCGAGCTCAGCCAGCCAGATCCGGACCTCCGCCGCGCGGGGCGGGCCGGCCAGCACAAAGGGTGGCTCTGTCGGAGTCGGGAACAATGGGCTGCCCTTTCACCGCGGCTGCTAACCTCTTGGCAGCCACCAGCAGACCGCATTCTGCTGTGCGGATCGGGCTGGACAATGCCTCACGGCCTCTGAATGGACGCTGCCACCAACAGGGCCCCATTCAGGGCGTTGGGAACCGGGCACGCAATTGTCTGCCCCGCAGGGAGACAGTGAGGACGTTCCTGTGGCCTCTTCCTGGTTTAATCTCCACGAGTGCCTTCCCAGGTCCCTGTTGTAGGAGCTACAGGAGTGGCTGCGCCAGGCCCAGGAGGTGGCAGGTCCCAGCCCTGGAGGACGTCGCCGCCCAGTTAAAACCAGAGGCACCAGTAGGAGCTTCGCACCTTTCCTCTAACCCTAAAAGCATTCCACAGTAGGCCGTGATCTTGAAACAACTGAGACGCAAACTGAGTCCAAGTCTCAGAAGCCCCAGGGCGAGTGCTGCGGGGCACCTGCCACCAGGGCTGTCACCTCTCGGGGCTCAGCCAGACTCCTTATCACAGATTCGAACCTTTACCTTTTTGTGTGATTTTTGAAATTGTTGCTGTCAGCCTCTTGTTATGAGAAGACAGATCCCTAATGAGTGAAGAGTGCCAGGCTCTGGGCAGGTGTCGGCAGCATCTGTGCTGGGCTGGGGTCCTGGACCCTGGGTGAGGCCAGATCGTGCACACCCTGTGTGGCTCGGGGAGGTGACAGGCACTCAGCCTGTGTTGGGGACAGTCCCGGTCCCTCTTCCGGACACGCAGGTCAGCCCTTGCGGGGGACCTGGGGGCTGAGCCAGGGGTGCACACCAGTCTTCCTAGGCGCCATCCACTGAGGCGTCCCGACACCTTCCTGAGCTTTCAGCCGGGAAGGAGATTTTCCCATAAGTGATGGGAATCTTTGTCTCCCCTCTGAAACGTGGCCTGGCCTAGTTCAACAGAAACATTTTACATTACAACTGTGAAATCTTGGCATAAAGCACCCCTTTGTCCCCCCATTATTTTCTCACAAATACAGTCCATTGTCATGGCGCTGAAGTTAATTTGATCAACATTGGGACATTTAACTTTTATGTCCAGTCAAAGGAGTTGTTTCATGCTCATTTTGGGCATTCAAAGGAAATGATTGCCAGAAAAATAATGTTCTTCTGAACAATTCCAAGCAATTAGTTTCCCAGGGAGAGGCGATGTGGTGCCCGCGCCCCCAGCCCCGCTTTGTGGCTTTATGGAGGGCCATCAGTTAGCTGTCAGCCACTCAAAGAGCCCCCAGCCTAAATGTTTCTCTTTAGACGTTCCCAGAACTTGCCTTGCTGTGCAGCCAGCAAAGAAAAGCCGGT